TAAAAAAGAAAATGCAGCAAGATCTAACGGCGCTAGAAAAGTGTCATAAAGGCCTTATACGAGTACGCGAGCCGGGATCACGTATGAATTGTTCGCATTTCCTGTCTTTTCATTCTAAAGTTAGTACCACAGTCTTAGTACCGCTGCAACGGAGTGATTCAGGCGGACGGCACGCAACAGCGAGTACTGAGAAATTAACAGTTTCGCGGATATTTTAGCTTTTACAGACCTGACCAGCCAACATTTCTAATAGACTTGAACATTTACAACATTAAAAATACTTAAATAGGAAAAAAATCGTATATTTTTATTAACCCTAGGAAATATTAATCTAAAACAGATAAGAAGCATTTAGAGGGAGAAACGTTTACTCAGCAGTTAAAAGACCATACTATCACATGGTATACCGATGCATCCAAAACCAAAGCAGGAATAGGGCTAGAAAGATTTGAGCCGAAAAGTAAATACTACGAACCAATAGGCACCCTACCCCGGTATCTATGAGGCAGAAATCTACACTATCGAAAGAACGTGTTCAAAGAAAGGAGTGTACAATGTATCTTAGATAGGAAATATGGGAAAAAAGTATAGCCATCTATTTTATATTTTACTTACTTTTACGTGCCATAGTATGTTGCTAAATTTCCCGAATACAGTTAGGACCACCCTGTATACAGGGTATATCAATATTCACAGAACTATATCTCATATCAATTAAACTCTTAGTTACGTAATCTAGGGCGCGATTTTTACATTCATTGTTGCCAACCATGGAGATATTGGGCGCCAGGCTGGTGATTCAAGTGGTAGCTCTGCTGTAAAAAATGTCAAGTTACTGCATTTATTTATTTATTTCCTGACATTGTCATTCCTTTTGACATTTTAGTTTTGTATTACGAGTTTTTGGTTTAAATAAGTAATAGTGTTGTGATACTTTAAGCTTAAAAATGTTTAATAGCGGACCTTGCAGACGAACATTGTTCTTTTTAGAACCTCTTTTAGTGCGAAATGTACAATATAGCTTAATACCCGTAAAAAAACTCATCTCAACTTTATTAGAATATTTTGAACGGGAAAGCGGTAGTAATGATCCTTTCTGTCCCTTAAGTGCTGTTAAGAAGGTGGGTTTCGTTGATGTAAATAATAGCTGTTTATATATTTAAAATTAATTTATTTTTGTTTCCTAAAATATTTTGATTAAAAAAAAAATTATAAAAGTAATCAACGCCGGTCATGCTTAATCACGTGACTAAAAGTTTATTTGGTATGAACTGTAGCATGTAATTTTAAATCAAAATAAGCTCATTAGGCACACTTTACCCCGAAACAATAGTGATTCGTTTGTCTGTTAGAGGGCATCAAACTGTATTAAAATAAACACATTTTTTATGATATTTTAAGAACTGATAATCCGATTTGAATGAGATTTGAGGTGCCTTTTTTTTTTAAGCACTTTAACATTTGAATTTCATAAAGAAAAACACGAAGAAAAATTACGAAGAGGAGTAAAAACTACCCCAGCCCTTATATAAATTTTAGTAGAAATATTTTCCACAAATAAACTCCACCGACGACTCTTTTTTTCCTAAAATTGTCCTCCTACACTTTTTGATAATTGTGGAAAACGCCACATTGCTTAGTTTTTAATAAAACATTTTTTTGGAGAATAATATTTCCAAAGCAAACTTGCAAAATACACAGAGAACTCCAATATTCCGTGGATATAGAAGAACTACGATTTTTTTTTCACCAAAATAAGTTAATTGCACAAAATTTATCTCTTTAAAAAGTCGCTGCTGCGGTTTGTCGTCTAGGGCATCACAAAAATAAACCCTAAAGTTAATTAATTTAAAATTTATGAAGCTTATTTGTCATACTTTAATTACTGTGATAACATTAAATGGTATGTAATAACGATCTATTCCAAATCATTTAATTTCCATCTGCCTTAAATCTGTCTTATGATAATTCGCACTTCCTTCAATCCCCAATAATAAACGAAATCTGTTTGGTTTAAAACTGTCTTGAAGTGACAAAACTGAAACCACACATCTACAAATTAATCTTCCCACGGTCGAGACTCAAATATCAATACCGGTACTGACTTAATAGCAGAAGTACGATTTGCATAGACTCTTCCAGGTACTCAGACGTAGAAATCATCTCTCAGTGGAGTACGAAACCCGATTCACCTCTTGTTTGATCAAAGCCATTAGGCGTTTAAACAATCAATTAGGTTTGCTAGATTTTATTTAAGTCTTTATAGCATGCTATCTGCGGGAAGTGTACTGTGCCGTAATGTATTATAATTTGTTACAAAAGTAGCAGTAATATTGAATCGATTAAGGTTTATGTTTAATTGTGATATAATTTACGATTTTCATTAAAAGAGCAGTTCCATATACTATATTTAGTTGCACATTATACAAGGATTATATGAAGATACCGTCAATAACAAATAATATTATTTGATTTGGTGGTACGTGCATATAGTTTTTAAAGTTGCGGCGCCCCAAAGCACGTAACGCTACTGTTGTAAATTGAAGCAAAGATCTTTTATTTGATCATAATTTCTTTGTCCATGATACACATTTTCTTTTATTTGAAACTTCTTGATTAAACAAATAATTGGTCTTAATGGTATCATAGGCCTTGAATTATAAATAATTGCATACAATATAATATAAAATTATGATGCAGGCAATAAAAATATATACAAACATCCGAAAATAATTAGAACACCTTTAACCTTAAGTTGTTTAGAAAAGTTTGCTTCTTATTATAGCAACCTGTCCATATATTTTATCAAAGACTTTCTTAATAAAGCTTTCATATTTTGGTTATCTATCTTTCCCACACCATTGTTGGTAATATTTTTATATTATATTTATTATTTTGATATTACATATTTTTTATTGTTTAATTTCAAGGTACCATTTTCAAATTTTTTGCAATTTGAGCCATATATTGAGTAAACAAACATATCATATTATGCCCTTTTATATACTAATTCATTATAATAAAATTAAATCATAAATATATATTGTAATTATATTCCTGCAGTTTAAGTGAAAAGTTTTGTTCTTAAATATCTACTATAAGTATTATAAACGCGTGTTAAAATATTAATTTTGTGGAATATATGTATACAGGGTGGTCCGAATTGTATTTCGAAAACTTCGGCAGCATATTCTTCAGATAAAAGTAGGTAAAAAAGTTCATATAAATGTATGTCCTAAAATGCTTAGTTTCGGAGATACAGGGTGTAGAAATTTCATTTTTATTTCGATTTTTTCCAAATAATTTCTGAAGTAACGTCAATATTTAGATGAAAATTGGTGTATGGGAGTTTTTTGATACGAGAAATTTAATTTTGATGTCAATATGACTCCTACTGGTAGAGGGCGCCACCTACATGTGTTTTAACTGTTTTGAAGCGTAATAAGTTTTTGTCCGTACCTGTATAAAACTACCGAGGGAAAAAATATACATCTCTGTGATTTTTTACGTAAAAACAATCTCTTTGTAAAAATCGCTACGAGCAACCGTTCTCAAGATATTTAGAATGGAAATAGTCAATACATGTCATTATTAACGAAAAATAAACAGGTTGAGTAGATATAATTATTTCACTAAAATAATAAATTTGGGAAATTTTTATTTTTTTAAATTAATCATATTTGTTCTGCAAAAAAATGATGATAAAACAGTTTTTGTTGAACTTTTGGTAAAAAACATTTCAAATATATGATCTCAGTCTAATAACTATTTAGTCAACATGTTTAATTTATGTCAGTGATGACAGGTATTGATAATTTCAATTCCAAATATCTCGAGAACCATTACTCGTAGCGATTTTTACCAAGAGACCTTTTTTACGTAAAAAGCGTCGTAAATGTATATTTTATTACTCTTACTAAAGTAGTTTTATATAGGTACGGACGAAAAGTTATTACTCCTCAAACCAGTTAAAAAATATGTAGGTAGTGGCCTCTACTAGTAGGAGTCATATTGACTTCAAAATCAAATTTCTCATGTCAAAAAACTCCCAGATACCAATTTTTATCCAAATATTGACGTTACTGCAGAAATTATTTGGAAAAAATCGAAATAAAAATAAAATTTCTGCACCCTGTATCTCCGAAACTAAGCATTTTTGGACATACATCCATACGAACATTTTTACTTATTTTTATGTGCAGAATATGCTGCCGAAGTTTCCGGAATACAGTTCGGACCACCCTGTATATCACATTATTTAGCACAAAATGAACGAGATAAATGAAAACGTATTGTAATAATTTCATAATAATCGCAAATAGGTGATGCATGTTACATTACATTACATCTTGTTTTACCAAACCAAAACAAGATGTAATTAAAGAAATATCATCGTAACAACAGCTATTTTAGAAACGTCTAGGTTTACTTATTTCACTGAGACTTATGAAAAAAATCCTTTGCCTCGGATACAGATACCGCCACGTTTTGGAAATAGTTCAAAACAAAAAAAAATTGAACGAGGCAACAAAAAACGCCCAAAAAACTTCCACACGCGTTTAAGAATCGAAAGTGGGTCGAGGCAACTCGAAGTGGGTCAAAACAACTGGAAATAAATCGAAATGCGTTAAAGTTGGGCGACAAAATGCGACCTTGACATGTTTCGAAGAGTTTTTCGTATAGTGTAGAGGCTGTTTTAGAATGAGAAGCTATCAAATACTTCGTGCCAACACTTTGATTTTGAGAGATTGACCATTTTGTTGGGAAACTAAAAATTTAACACTCAAACTCAAATGCTTTAGATCGGAGACCTCCGTTTCCGTCCAAACATTTTTATAACATCAGATCTTATTATTAACACATGGCATCACATAAAAACATAAATCCGAAATGTGAGCTATATATAAGTAGTTTTAATATGTTTTGATAAAACTATTTATTCATTGGCTGAACTGAGAAAAATACACAAACCGATCTAACATTTTCGTTTTTCTTTGCAGTCAAAGCGGCGTGATGGGAGAGCGAGTGGAACCGGTGGTTCCAGGTCCGGACTTGGTGGGTGTGAACGTGGAAAGGCCGATGAACATGGCTCACCAGCAGTCTTCCCTCTGGAACAAACGACAGCAAGCCGTGTGCGTACGGCACGCTTTTAAACATTACGGCTCAAAGAAGAATCCAAATCACGTACTTAGCGACCTGAACATGACCGTAGCCAAAGGAACCATGTAAGTAACAACAAAGATAACATAGAAAAAAATTTAGCCCTCTAAGATATCAAACTAGCTACTCACTGACTTAATCGTCGCCTAGTAGTTTTAGGTCAGAGACAGAATCAAGAATTTTTGTATTGCTCAACATTCCGTTCCAATTTAAGCTTGAAACTTATAATTGAGTCGAATAAAGTCAAGTATAAACTGTTGCGTTCTATTGTGTATTTAGATTTATTATAATTCACCCTTCAGAAATATTTTAAACCATGGGCGTAGCTAGGTTTTAATTTGGAGTAGGGCAGAAATTGTCAAAAGTCAGTACCAAAATTTTCCTTTACCTTATACTTCACTCAAAAAATAAATACCTTCATTTTAAAAGTAATCTGCAAGGCTAAATCCCGACAAAATTTTGATTTCAAATTAATTTTTCCCTTCTTGAATCAATCTGCCTTTCATCTAAAATATTTTGGCTATGATTATATGAGTTGTGATAAATAATGAGGACTCTCTGGTGCATAAATGAACAAATTCTCTGAAGTTTGAAATGTGTTGATTAGCTATCATTTTTATTGTTGTTGATTGTCGTTTATGATATATCATATTGCAGATATATCAGACTGCAGTGTGATAAAATAAGTTCTTTACTTGCACACTTATAGATTTCCACCGGAATCGCGTCACAGCCAGCTGATTTGTTGTTTTTAAGAAGCTGTTTTATGGAGGCCTTTATTTCCTGTTCTGTTATTAGGATGTCTAATGCATCGAGGCTGTTATACTGAAGTATTGTGTTTAGTGCTTCCATATTGTGGTTGTGTTCTTGGTTAAGGATATGGCTGTAATGCTCTTTCCAGCGATTTCTGATTTGTTCTCTTTTAAAAGTTTGCCATTTTGGAACATAATTGGGCAGCTTACCTTCTTGGTTGGACCTTATACTTCTTTTACAGCCTCGAAGAACTTACGATAATTGTGATGCGCGGCGTACTCTTGAATCTGATTCGCTTTTTTGACCACCAGTTATCCTTTAGTTGGCGCAGTTCTCTTCGAATCGTGTTGTTGGATGCTTTAAAGTTGTCTACCAGTCTTGGACTGTGTGGATTTGCAGTGACTGCTTGATGTGCTCTATATGCTTTTGTTCCAACCATGCCTGTATATGCGGCTGATTTTCGTTAAACCAGTTTGGTTGTTTCTTTTGGTTCGACTTTACCAAAAAATGTAGTCTATTTTCCGAAAAGAAAATCGGTCTTCGGTGGAGTCGGAAAATATTTATCCTAAAATGTATGTAGGGGAAGTTTTGACCCTTCCCGTACTTTTTCTTGATTTGTGAAAGTCAAAAGTTAGAGCACTTAGCAAAACATAGACACCCAAAATCTCATTCAAATCGGAATAACGGTTCTTAAAATATCTGAATCAATGTGATTATTTTTTGAAAGTTTCATGCCCTCTAACGGACAAACGAAGCACTTTTATATCGAGGTAATTTGTGTTCAATGAACTTATTTTGATTCCAAAAATACGTACTAGTTTATGTCCACAGAATATTGGGACACCCTGTATATTATTATAACTTTCAATTTTTCATCACCAATAACTTAATTTATTAAGCACTAAAATTATTATTAAATTTTCTGTTATAAAATTATTGCTGAAGTATAAATAAAGAAACATTTCATAGTTCAAAACAATTTTGAAACAAAAAAAATACCAATGTTTCCATTCATTAAAAACTCCGTTTACATTTACATGTCCCTGTTACAGAAAGATTATAAGACTCTAATTAACAGAAAGAATTAATCATAATTACGTCAATTCTTTAAAGCTGTTACAAAATAACATGTTCTCCTTTGGACAGTCGCCTGTCCACATCGTCACAAATTAAATGGGAAAACACACTAATATCCTATCGGTTTCTTTTTTTCATTTTAATTATTGCTTAAACAGCTCTATTAGTATGGAAACGAATTTAAATAGCTAATGCTTGGAGAATAATCGGAAATTATCGAAATAGAAAGTAAAATTAACGGTATGTCAGACAACACAATTCTGCATTTACGCTTACGTAACGCTGCACCTGATATTACTTACAGGGGACATTCCATAAATACCTGTTATGTTATGAACCAAAAAATTATATTAATGGCTATCAATTGTTGTTTCCTGTAATTTAACTTTCGACTTATTTCATGGTGTATTGATCGCATCAAAATGTGTTTGCTGTTGGTGCTGTTGTTCAAATTTTCGTTTTTTTGAAGTATATATATTTTTTTGAAGTATATATATATATATATATATATATTTCGGGTATTGAACTTACAACGTTTGATATATATACAGGGTGTCCCAGAAATAAGTGCAAGTATTTTAAGGCGTTGTGGATCTCGATAAAAGAAACATATTTTCTCTTTATCGTTTTTCAAATAGTCCAAAATAACGGAGTTATTTTACTATGAAAATTTCCAAAAAAAAATATTTTTTGCTAAAATTTTGAGAACCACTGAATCTTTTCTGGATTTTCTTTCTTGTAAATTTAATCTAATATCTATGTTGCCATATTATCAAGAAATTATGTTTTTTACCTAAAAACTAAAAAAAATTGTATGTTTTAATGTATGTAATTAAAATCCTTTTTTTACGCAATTAAATAGATCATAAAAAGGCTTCGGAATAATTAATTGATCGTAAGATAATAACGTATTGCATTAGAGTAATGTCAAATAAAATAATATTAGAAATATCCTAAAAAGTGACAGCGGCCGACTAGATGTTTTCCTAAAAAAATACAGGAGCCCACTAGATTCTTTATCTAAAAATGTTTTTTGTCCTGACATGTAATGATTTACATTTTATTTTTTATTTTCAAATCGGTGAGTTTTGTAAAAAAACAAGAGATAAAAAAATTTCTAAACAAACTAAACTATCCAAATTAATTTTTTTGCATGTTTGATAAAATTTTTATTTAAATTTCGTAAACAAAAATGATAGGGGTAGTTTATTTCAACCCCTTCCACTCATTTTAAAAAAGTGAGAAAATTACCAGAAAGTGTGTTTTCATAACAGTAATGTTTCTATAAAAATTCATTAGTCTATCGCTTTTCGTTTTCAGTATAAAAAATAAAAACATTATTTTTCCGCCATCTTTGTACCGCGATATCTCCATAATGGTTGACTTTTGACCCAACGTTTATAAAGCAAACTACCCTTTATTTTAAACAAGGAATCACCTCCTGAAGTTTTTCGCATTTGTTTTGAAACACCCTATACTGTATATGAAAAATGTCCCGAATTTCTTAAAAAGATTATGTTCCTTAAAAATGAAAATTTCTATATTTACCAACTTGGAAATATTGCAAAATACGAATGAAAAGGAAGAAATTTACCATAAAAAAACGAAAATTATAATACTTTGCACCTTCGAGGTCTCCTCTCGGGATATGACTACACTCTACTAAGACTAATTAGGGAGAGAATGATTAGAGGCAGAAGATATATTGGAAGAAGAAATATGGCTTGAGTAAGAAACCTTATGGAATGCTTTAGCCTTAGATCTGTTCAATTACTTATTACGAACTTCTGTAATATATAGCAATGCAAGAAGTGGTTTTTGACTCCAAATGTCAATGGTCGTTCACATTTTTAATACTTTTTGAAAAAAAAGTAGTTCTTTAAAATTTCAAACTATAGCTAGAAAAAGTTTGTTGTACCTAAATTATATTTTTTTAATATTCAGTTACGACACTTTGTTTAAATGTTATCACAACAATCTTAGAAAATCTAATAATAAATAATCAGCAGAGAATATATAAATAAATAATGAAGCAGATGTGGTTTTCGAATTAGATATTCTATGATTATTTAAATTGTTGGAATTCTTTCAATTTATTGCTTATTTATTTATTTCTGTCTAAAGTATATCTCTTCTTTCAGATATGGTCTACTAGGAGCTTCAGGCTGTGGTAAAACGACCCTCCTGTCCTGTATCGTAGGAAGGCGGAGGTTGAACACAGGAGAAATATGGGTGTTGGGCGGGAAGCCGGGTACCAGGGGTTCGGGTGTGCCAGGCAAACGGGTGGGGTACATGCCACAGGAAATAGCCCTGTATGGGGAGTTTTCCATTCGAGAAACGATGCTCTACTTCGGCTGGATCTTCGGCATGAACACATCGGAGATCAAGGAGAGGCTGCAGTTTTTATTGAACTTTCTGGATCTACCTAGTCAAAATAGGCTGGTAAAAAATTTAAGGTAAGTTTTACTAATTTTTACATACTTTAATAATAATTCCAAAAAAGTCCTACGAGTACTTCTGCACTGGAAGAAAATCTACAGAATAAAATAGTTATTTTTTGTAAACACTGCTGCCTTAATCCAACGGAGACTAATTGTCAACAGTGGTTACTAATGAACAAATGCCTAACGGACAAAAAAATGCTTAACGTTTCGAAAAGTATATCTCTTTCCGTCGTCGGAAGCAAAAAAAATACAAAGAACAAAGAAAAAACTATTTAAAATATTTAAATGCAACTATTCGAGAACGCTTTAGTTTTTTTTTAAACAGATACGTCTACAAAAACCGTTGATGTTCTGTTAAAATGACGTTATATCAAGTTAAACTTCAAAAATTAAAAATTACTCCCTGATAACAAACGAGGAAACTACCGAGGAAAACTACCGAGGAAAAAAATATACATCTCTGTGACTTTTTACGTAAAAAATATCTCTTTGTAAAAATCGCTACGAGCAACCGTTCTCAAGATATTTAGAATGGAAATAGTCAATACATGCCATTATTGACGAAAAATAAACAGTTGAGTAGTCATTTCACTGAAATAATAAATTTGTGAAATTTTTATTTTTTTAAATTAATCATATATTTTTCTGCAAAAAAATGATGATAAAACAGTTTCCGTTGAACTTTTGGCATAAAACGTTCAAATTTATGCTCTCAGTCTAATAGCTATTTAGTCAACATGTTTAATTTATGTCGATGATGACAGGTATTGATAATTTTGATTCCAAATATCTCGAAAACCAATACTATTAGCGATTTTTACCAAAAGACATTTTTTACGTAAAAAACGTCGTAAATGTATATTTTTTTACTCAGTAGTTTTATACAGGTACAGACGAAAAGTTATTACTCTTCAAACCAGTTAAAAAATATGTGGTGGCGCCATCAACTAGTAGGAGTCATATTGACATCAAAATCAAATTTCTCATGTCAAAAAACACCAAGACACAAATTTTCATCTAAATATTGAGGTTACTTCAGAAATTATTTGGAAAAAATCGAAATAAAAATGAAACTTCTACACCATGTATCTCCGAAACTAAGCATTTTCGGACATATATTTATACGAACTTTTTTATTTATTTTTATCTACAGAATATGCTGCCGAAGTTTCCGGAATACAGTTCGGACCACCCTGTATACCTATCATGATATTTATAAAAAAATAAAACTCAGAAGAAACAATCAGAAAGAAAAAAACAAAAAAGATAATATTGATTGGATCTGGGACAATTCAAATGTACCAAAAACTTTGCCAGAAACAGTATCATTTGATTCTGACGAATCTGACGATGATTTACCATTAATAAAATTAATAAACCAAATATAAATTTGTTTGTTGTTAGTTGTAGAGTATTTGTTTATTTTTTGAATTTCCGTTTATTTTTTAGAATTTCCGTTTATTTCTTAGAATTGCTGATTATTTTTTAGAATTTCCGTTTATTTTTTAGAATTTCTGTTTATTTTTTATATATTTTTGTTTAAATGTTGTTCATATTATGTGCAAAGCGACAATAATTAAGTTAAAATGAAAATATTTGCTTGAGCTCTTCATTTTACTTGATACTAAACGCAGTTTTACATAAAAAATACAAACAAAAATAAATATCAAAACTTGATATATATCGGATATATATCCGATATTTCATATTTATATAAATATCAAGATATTTCCCAACCCTGGTTAACACAAGTAGAATTATTATTAGATAAATTTTCAGTTTTTCTTTAGAGATTACTGTTAGATACATACTTAGATTTTGAAGTTTAGATAGCTTAAATGAGCTCTATGGCTCAATATACTATAATTCAGTTTCAAATGTATACAGGGTGGCGCACCTCATTCACCTCGGTTAATTATAGAAAAACTTTATGGATATATGTGGGAAGAAAATGTGTATAATTTAAAACTATTTTGAAATGTACAGGTTGTGTCTGAACTAAGATCCATACCAAAGTTATATTTTTTCTTACGCAACACCCGGTATTTTATTTCATTTTTGTATTCTTGGCAACAAAATAAGGCATTTGTTATAAGGGTTTAATATGTTTAAAAGCTTTGGTTTTTGAGATATTTAAAGGTATTTAAATATGCATGCTATAATAAAAAAGTTTGTCACCACCCTGTACATTACTTTTCAGAATTAATTCTTGTGCTGACTTTTAAGCCAGAGAAACAAACTTCACCAAAGAAATTGATTGCTTCCTTAAATGCACGCAAGTGTCAAAAATTGCTAGTTTCTTTTAAATATTTATTTTACATAAAAACTTCTTGGCTACAAATGCAACACTATGTATTTTTTTAAATAAGTCGAAGCAGATTTAAATGCTCTTTTAAACTATATTAGGGTTTCCTATATCTATCTGGCTCAGATTTTGACTAAAAAGCGATTTTTCAATAAAATGGCTGCTATCACCACGGCAATTTTCTAGTGACAGTAACTATTTTCAAAAGCGACATTAGTTTATGGACTTTATTTACATTTATAACAGTTTACTTTTATTTAATTTACCTACAATAGTTTAATAAGTAAGTATTTATTATTTTATTAAGAAAAATGAAGCAGTATCTGCTGGCGGAAAGAATGGATAATATGTTACTTGTGATTTTATTTTGTGAGAAAAATTGCTTGTTGGTCTGAAGGGTTTATGATCAAAAATATCTATATATAAATAGAAATTTTCTTGACAAGCGTTCCTTTGAAAAACTGCATTTCCTATTTCGTAGAGCTGATTATGTGGTATATATGTCTAATATAATCTATTAGGCAGAAACCTGTTGTTGGAAGTGAAGAAAGTGAAAATTGCCCTAATTTGTTCTTCTATAGAAAATCCAATATATCTACAAGTCCTCGAAATTCATCAAAGAACTACTTTTTCGTTTTTCTGCAAGGACACTTGTACCTTGTCAACCCGCCTTAATCATCAGACATTTGAGCATGCGCTGTATTTATTTGTATTAATGTAATATTTACAAAAGATATAAATAAAGAAAGTATATCACTGAAGTAGTACTGGCGCAAGACTCCGACGATCTAGAATATATGACTCAAAAGCTAATCGAAGAAAAAAGCAAATGGGGATTGGAAGTAAACTTAGATAAAACGGAATATATGTGTGCTTCGGCGCATTCCCAAAGAAAACCTCCCCCTTGAAAACTGTCAAAATATTAACGGCTGCAGAAACTATAAATACTTGGGAGCCAAAATTTCAATGGATGTCACTCTGGAAAAGCAGATAGGGACAGAAATACTCAGGGAAGAAAGGCAATCTCTATGTTAAACGGCGTCTTGTGGGATAGTAACATCTCTTAATCTAATAGCTTAAAAACTAAAAGATGAGGCCGTGCGCACCCTGGAAACGACAGAAATGGATTTTTGGAGACGGGACGAAGTTAAATCCAGAAGAGAAAGATGTACGAATAACAGAATTCGAGAAATTATTGGTTTCAATCATACAATAGCTGATGACATAAGAACAAAACAACTAATATGGTATGGCCACGAACAAGGAATGTCAGAGGGGAGGCTTCCAAAACAGATCCTCAACTGGACACCAGAGGGACGACGAAAAAGGGGTAGACTACGCAAGAGCTGGAGAGAAGGAATAGACAAGGAGCTAAAAGAACGAGAGCTCGAAGACGACCTCTGGCTAGATAGGCTGAGTATCGGAAGTTTTTTTGGTTTGAGGTATCGAAAGAATTTTTAAAACTGATTGATATATAAAGAATTCCACTAAACCAACAAGACGAGATTGACATTATATCTTATTACTATATTTAACAATAACTCCTTTATTAGCTAATTAATTTCACACAGAAAATACCTGAATTTCGCAACCATTAAAATCAAACAACGTATAATTACATACGTATTTCCATAAAATAAATTTTCCGCTACGACATTTTAAAATAAATTAATTAGCCGTCTATCACATTCCATCCTTTTATAAGCTTAGAATTGCGTAAAAAATATGTAGTATCGTAGATTGCGACTGATGCAAACAATTCTTTGTTTATGGCTCGCTTGAACTTGACTCGTTGACACATTTTTCGATCGTTTTTTTGCGTATCGATCAAATCGAGAAATTCACTCACGAAGCTAGCCGCAATTGTTCGCACCTTGAAATTAAGGTGTATATAATATTGCAGAAACTCGGTATTGCCTAACCGAACATGATTATGTTTCTAATTGGACAAAGAGTCTAGCAATTTAATGATTAAATTTATTTTTTGATTTTTAAAATTTAACACTGAAAAAAACACTGGATATATTGCATCTTAGGCCGGTGCCGTCCCTTTCAGAAGCAAACAAATAACAAAAAATAAATAAAAAACTATTTAAAATTGTTACATCTAAATATTTTGAAAAAACTGCAGTAATTTAGTATCAGCCCCCGATTGCGTTTTGGCAGGCAATTTTGTTCGACAAACAAAACTGTTCGAATAAAAACGACACAAAATGAAGTGTTGGTTCACAAACAGTCGTTCTTGTTAGACAACAAATCTGATGAAAATAATCAAATTGAGCTGGATTTTGTCTGCCAATTTTATTCGTCGAATTTGTCTATTCCTGGAAGTCGGAAGTTTGGGGCCCAAACAGTTTTAAAAGTGGCCATTTTCCTCAGTGTGGGGGTTCCTCAGTCTTCTCTGACTACACAGAGGAGTTTATGCATAGCTGTCCAAAAAATGTGGGATCTTCGCCAGTTGACGTGAGAAAACTTGCTTCTTTTCAAAAGCCATTCCTTTCAAAGACCACTTTCTTCGTTTTTTTTTTAATATATTTAGATGCATGCCGCCGCTACAGCACATAGACACAAAACAGATGCGAAAGAACACCGAATTACGCGTTCAGGTTTCTGTGCCCTTCAGAAAGAGTTCATAGACAATCCGCATCAATGTATAGTTTGGGTTATTATTTGTTTGGGTGAAAATAATCTGCACCAATATGTTATCGAGGCATACAAAAAGGTCCACAGACTTCGAGACATACGAAAAATCAAGTCCATTTAGCGTGTGTCGAAATTTTCACACACCTTAAAAATTAGTTTTTATAGCTATAGCAACTGCAGCGACTATGAAAAAAGCTGTGTGATTTTCATAGAAAATAAGGGCACCTGTAATTCATTTGAGAATGTTATAAATCGCTAAAAAGAGGTTTCAAATCTCTTGGATTTCTATATACATATATATATATATATATATATATATATATATATATATATATATATATATATATATATATATATATATATATATATATATATATATATATATATATATATATATATATATATATATATATATATATATACAAATCAGTTTATAACGTTCTTCGACGTCTTCTGATTTCCAGTCTCCATTGGTCTCTGTCTGTCAAGAGGTTTTCGTCTATTCCTCTTGTTCTGATGTCCCCTGTCTATTCCTTCTCTCCAACTCCGTCTAGGTCTCCCTCTCTTGCGTTTGCCTTGTGGTGTCCAATTGAGTATTTTTTGGGATTCTGTTCTCTTCATTCTTTGTACGTGCCCGTACCACCTGAGTTGGTTAATTTTGATGTCCCTCTGATATTCGGTTGTTTTAACGCCCATGATGTTCTGAATTCTTTCATTTCTAACTCTATCCAGTTTTGATTTTCCGGCCGCGCGCCTCCAAAAGTCCATTTCTATAGCTTCGAGTAACTTAAGGTTTCTTTCTTTCAAAGGCCATACTTCACTACCATAACTAATGATACTTTTAACTATGCTGTTATAAATTTTGTGTTTGTTTTCTTTTGATACGGCCTCTTGGATTTCTATCAATATTAAATAAATTTTATTAAAAATTGAACTAAAATTGTTAGTATCATTAAAAACAATTCAAATTCAAAAATTGTATCAGTCAAATTCCCTCATTTAAGGTAAATATTAAAGTAAATATAAATACAGCTCATTCTAAGCTCTACTTATCTTTAAGAAAAATTTAAATCATTGTTGCAATTGGGCCTTAATGCCATTTTGAATGAACAATAGTATTAATAATGTACATTATAATAATAATAAATTTTATATCATAGTGTGTATTAAAACTACTAAAACACTTTTAAATTGGTATTATATTAACAACTTTTGTTTTTTAATCCAAAAAAAGTTACCAATTTTCTCAATCAAAATATTTGTGGTCCTGAAAAGGACATTCGTTTTCCCATGTTTGTCAAGGTAGGTAATGGGTAAACAGTAAAAAAACAGGATAATGAAATTTAAAAAGTTACAAAAATTGTTCAAAAGTGCTTCCCTCTTGCATTAAACAATAACCCAAACGATCATAAAATCCCCTCCTCACATTGGATGACATATCAGAGGTGACAGTGTCAAAGACATTAAATATTTTCTGCCTTAACTGCTCCAAGTTTTTAACTTCTTCATGGCCGTAAATTTTAGATTTTATGTACCCCCATAACAAGAAATCATTCACCGAGAAGTCAGGTGAAATTAAATGTCGCGTCAGTCTAAACAAAACTGTCATTTTTGAAAACTTGTCAAAATTTGGACACACGCTAAATGGACTTGATTTTCCTATGTCTCGAAGTCTGTGGACTTTTCTGTATAATCTCACAGTAATTTAATAGATTGCTCGTCATATTATATCAGCTCGTCGGAGATTAGGAAAAAAAAGATATTTATAGTATAAAAAATTAATTTATTTAACAAAATTTAATTAAAGATGTGACAAAATAGTTACATTTCTATTGGTTCTATCGGACTCTTTTCGACTATATAAATCTTTATTTTTTGTAAACTTTAATGCATAAAATATTTTCAATCTAATAAATAATTTAATGATGTAAAAAAGAGGAAATTTCTCACATGGGTGGTCAAATTCTATAGTTTTCATTATATCAAACAGCCTCTGAATGTTTTCTTCAGTGCAAAACTCATCAAAATTTAATATAATAATAATTTTTCCAGCCTGTAAATAAAATGAACAAGTTTTTCCACTTTCATGATCAAAGGCTTTTAAATGGGTAAATAATTTCGAGTTATCCAGAGATTCGGATTCTTTTGCAAATTTTAGACAAATATCACATTGATGTATTTGAAGACCCTTTTTAAAGATGTAGTCAAACATAATTAAAGGCATTTTGAGTTGAAAACATTTCTCATCTCTCTCATCATTTGCATCCCATTTTAAATAAGATATACAAATTACCAAAACTTAGAAATAACAGTTCAAAAGTTCAACAAAAATCCTATACGCGTTTTTAAAAAGAAACATATAACCACGCACTATGTCATTCCAGCAAGCGAATACGACACAGCATAGGTTTCCGGACTAAACGACTGGTGTATTTACACCACTCAATAGGCGTGTCGGGTTTGCGGAGCGGTTTCCGATGCAGTCGCTTTCTTTCGCATCTCTTACAGGTAATTTGTGACATAGATATATTTTCTTCATGTAGCTGTGTTTCAATAAGACTGTTAACAAAACTGTTTGTGTGTGTACAACATTTTCAACATTTTTTAACATTTTTACTTGAACATTATTGTTCGTCGAACAAAACCGTCTAGCAAAAACGCAGTCTGTGGAGTCCTTAATAGTCATGCATGTAAAACATGTTGTAAAAGTTGTTGGTCATTATGTCGTTTCTAATATCATAGTAAAAAATATATTTTATTTTACAGTGGAGGCCAACAAAGAAGGGTGTCCTTCGCCGTAGCCTTAATGCACGATCCAGAATTGCTCATCCTTGATGAGCCGACAGTTGGAGTGGATCCTCTACTTAGACAGAGCATCTGGAATCACCTGGTTCAAATAACGAAAGACGGCAACAAGACTGTGATCATCACTACGCATTATATTGAAGAAGCTAGGCAAGCACACACAGTAAGTCTAATTATACTGTAATATATCATTGACTGTCTAAAGTAAAGTTCTGATATAATAAAACAGAATTCTATTTACTTTCTAGAAACTAAAATGTTTCCAATATCGAAAGTTAAGTTTGACGAAGTTCTGTCCATTTCTTGATTGGCATTTGTATTGAAATTTACAAATTTCATTATAGAATGACCAGCTTTGAAGTTGACTTAACTTTTCTATAACCTTGATCCTTGTATTATAATGGATAACTGCATTTATTAAATAACCATTGTTGGTAATTGATATATTTTAATAATCATTTGTGCAGAATTAATCATCATTTATAATTACTATTTGATTTGTATTTTACTTCAGTTCTCTTGGCAACCAAAAGAGCACACAAAGGAAATTATTTTAATATTAGTTTTTTGTTTACTTTTATTTCTGTAATAAGGATTATTTAATTTAACCTTGAAGTTTTAGTAAGTTTTTCAATTATTTTTTATATTTTTTTTACAAAAATATCAAATGGTTAAAAAATAGTAACTAATAATGTTAAAATAAAATTAATTACTGTAATAACTATGTTTAAATATGTATTAATTTAGGTAATTTGGCTTATTAAACGAAATTAGCAAGAAAAATTAAATTATATATGTTATAACATATGTAATTAAAAATATGGAAGGAGATAATTTTTTCAATCATCTCTATCTATTAGTTTCTCTTTAAAATGCAGCAAGTGCTCTATGTTTTTTTTCCTATCCGCATTATCTGCAGTAGTCGTTGTTGGAAATCTTCCATCTCACGATGTTTACTCCCGTGGGGGTAATTTCCAGTGACGACACCTTCAATTAGGCATACTAGGTTCTTTTCGTGCTCTAGTAGTTGTTTTGTCTTTTTGCTATCTTTTATCATTTCTCCAAAAGCCTTCAACCCTGTATACAGAGATGCACTTTGGGCAATTATGAAAAAGTTCGGAGTACCCAACAAATTTCTTAGAGTGTGTAAAAGCCTTCATAACAACAACAAGTCAACACAGGAGTTAGGCAGGGATGTGTCTTATACCGCCTCTCTTATTCAACATATTCATGGCAGCGCCTATTGTGGACAGCAAACTGCAGGAAAGAGGATTGTGTATTAGATACAAATACGATGGCGATCTGTTCAACATAAAAAGACTCAGGGCAAAAACACGTACAAAATTCATCACAGAACTTCAATACACTGATGACTGCGATCTAGTTGCAAAAACGATACACACATACCTGGGCACACGAGGCTTTGGGCCTTAAGCTGAATATCGACAAAACTACAATCATGTGTACTCACCCGGAAGATCACAACAATGCTATAAAAATCGGAGAAGAACTATTGGAATATGTAGCGGAATTCAATTACCTCCGCAGTTTGATTTCAGACAAGACCAATATCGACTCTGAAATTCAGCACAGGGTTAGCAGCGCCTCAAGAGCATTCTGGAAATTAAAAGACAGGGTTTTCTACATTCATGACTTGAGCACAAAAATGAAACTTGTAGTGTACCGAGAAATAATAATCCCCACCATGCTATATGGAAGCGAAACCTGGGTGCCGCACCGCCGACACATGAACGCATTAAACAAAAACAACGAGAGGAGACACCTTAGACAACTCTTAAGAATCAAGTGGTTCGACCATGTCTCAAACGTATCGGTCCTTGAAAAAGCTAACTGCGAGAGCACTGAAGTCATGATTACAAAATCCGGCTTAAGATGGGCTGGACACGTATGCAGAATGCAAGAAAATCGCATTCCAAAATCTCTGCTTTACGGTGAGCCGGTACGGCCGGGTGGACAACTCAAAAAGTACAAGGATATTTCCCACGAAAACTTAAAGCAATAGAGAAGAATTGTAAACTCAGTTAACAGCGACAACCAAAAAGTAAAGAGGCAACAAAGCAATGAGATTTTTGAATGTCCGGAGTGCGGAAGATAGATAACATCACATATCGGGCTTTTCAGTCACAGAAAAGCTCATGAAAGAAAACGTCTTGCGTGACCATCTTCTAATGCATCTCAAATACTCGTCAGCGAGTAATGACTGTATCTATGTATGTATCATTTCTGCATCACCTACTCCAACATTGTTTTTATTCGGTATTCAGTATTGTAAGTATCACAATCGTCACCTTTTAAACTAATTTTAAAATATTTAATAACTAATAAATCTGTAGCTACTGATTTTCAACTGATATTTAAAGTTCAACTATAAAGAAACAGAGACATACAGTTAAACCATAAAAAAACTAAAGAATTTGCTGAAAAAAAATCGGTCTTTTGCATTTAATAAAAGGGGAATAGATAATTATTAAACGCATTTCTGAAAGTAATGTGTAACACTTCAATAATAAAGAATGATAAAGCTGATTTGCAATTCAAATTATGAACTATTAAAATTGCAATTATTTAAAATATAATAATAATATCACCGCAGCGTGCGAGTGGGAAAGAGAA